AACACAGCAATTGCAAAAGAACAATCTTTAAAACACTTAGACTTGAGAAGAAGGGAAAGTTTACCAGACCAACATGACAAATGTAGAAGGCATTTTAACACTGCACTTCATGTGACCTGTAATACACAGGATTTGGAAATTTTGTGCTTTAAAAATTAAAAATGAGTTCTAACAAGCAATATTGAAAAAAGACAGTTGAGGCTTAATACACTGAAAAGGAGAAAGAGATAAAAAAATCAGAAACATATGATAAAAATTTTATATAATTAAATAACTTTTTTTTATTTCTTGAGGGGACAGTCAAAATATAGCAGCTGACAACTAGTTTTCTATAGGATTTATTTCCTTGTGTGATGTAAATTATATCATTACTTAAGAAACAAGAGGTAAGATAAGAGTAAATTAATCTATGAGACCTTTTTTCCTTTTTATTAGCTATATTTTTGTGCACCAGCAATACCAAGCATGCAGTGTGTGTATACTGATTCGATTTTATTACTCAAATTGAAATTCTTTTAGGCAGGATTAGAGTAACTTAATCTAAGAGACCTTGGGCATGGTCAAATACATCAATTGAAAGGGTTTGACCTCCTGAATCCAAAACTCTAATTAGATCTCAAATAAGTCAAGAGATGACTGAGCTATGAGCTAAACGTTTGTACTTGAAAAAAAACTCAGACCATCCCCTGAGCTGCTATGCTGCATCTAAAAAGTTCTACAGCTATAGAACAAGGAAAAATTCATCAATTTACACTTAATTTTTAATGGATAAAGAATTATGGACATCAAAGCAGTTGAAATATTTTGAGAGAAGAATAATGAGCAAATATTACAATTTTAACTTGGAAATAACCACATTTTAATGCAAGCAGTATAAGTGTTAAAGTATAAAGTGAAAGATAATTACCTGAAAGAGGATCCCTGTTCAGTCCTAACTTATTGATTATGTATTGTGGAATATCTGTGTTAACTCCTTGAAGTACTTTGGCTTGTCCTTCTGCTGCTTCAAGTAGCCGATAAAAATCTTCTGGATCAAACTCCTGCATTTAAGTCAATCAAAAGACATTTCTGTCACTTTCACAAATGTTCCTTACTTGTAATGTAGTCTAGTTAATAGATTATTCTACACTCACTGCTAAACGTAGTCTTTTCAACTGGTTACCTTCTTTTTTTTTTGGAAATGCTTCTTTTTATTGTAGGTAATTTACCACCGTTATAGTAGTCAAAATTCCAATTTTTGTAATGTAATATTAACTAACAATGTAACACTGTTATCTTGTTTAACAAAGACATTTCATCTTGTTTAATGCATGTGCAACAGTAATTACGTTTATACGCGAGAAGTATTGATCACCTGATGTCTGAAATTTGTCTGTTCAGTTTAAGATTAAACTAATGCAAATTTTGCATCATGAAACAGATCTATCTTTAAGAGAATTCTGTTTTTTTGCATTCTTAAAATTAAACAAAGTACTGAGAATCTCAATTTCTGTGCTCATTAGTTTATTTAAAATACTAAATTTTGAAGTTGTTTTGTGGAATTACTCATTTTCGTTCTCTGTCTTTTTTTTTTTAACATACTATTTTTAAGGCAACTTCCAGTTCCACTAACAAGACTAAACTTCCTTCTGAAGAAGATTTTGAAATGATAAAATTAATTAGTAATGGAGCTTATGGGTAAGTTTCTAATTAAAAATTAGGATTACCGATTGTTTAACTCTACCCCTTTTTTAGTACTTAACTTTCAAATTTTTGTTTTTTCATTATATGGATCAATGGATGGATATATAGGTATTTTATTTATGTATTTTTGATGATTTATGCCTTGAAATCTGTTGTAGTTTATACCTGTTTATAAAACATCCATGATACACAGATAGTTTAATTTGTTGTAGAGTTCATCTTTGTGATGTTATATGAGACAGTCACTAATACATCTCTGAGATTAAAAGTTGATTTATTAGTAGTGAGATATCTGTATTCAATTTAATAATAATAAATGTGTATATATATGTATTGTATAACAAATGTTTCTCAGATTATATTAAATTAGCTTATATTGCTACAAGAGATTAGAAATTCTAAAGTTATTTATACTTAATATTTGAAAACACATAAAAATAGTACCGGTAAAATTCCTCTGCAGATCTTTACACGAATATGATTATACATTTTTTTTACAAATAGCTTTGAAAAACCAAAAAACAACATTATGATATGAAGAATATAAACATTATTCAAAACACCAAATTTCAAATGGCCCATCAAATATGTAAGCATACTTTGTATTTTTCTCACCAGAAATACAACTAAATATGTTCAAATAACAGATGCAACAAATTTTTAATTGGTTTTACAACTTATTATGTCTTTAAATAAAAATAAAAGAAATCAAACAAGCTTTTATTTTGTATTTACTAGATATAAACTGCTTTCTCTATATGTTTATAATTGAACTAAGTTTGAGTTCTTTGCTGTAGTTGGTATTGTCTATGCATGTAAAAATTACTTTTACATACTTCTTTATATATGAATATATATATATTCAAGGTATTGCCTATCGTATTAAATATCTTTGTTTCATATTTCTACCTTTTTTCAGTGCTGTGTATCTAGTTCGGCATAAGACGAGTAGACAGAGATTTGCTATGAAGAAAATAAACAAACAGAATCTTATACTTAGAAACCAGAGGGAACAGGTATATGCTGAACGAGATATCATGACTTTTACAAACAATCCTTTTGTGGTTGGTATGCTCTGTACTTTTGAAACAAAGGTGATTATCACTCTTCAGTTTATATTTATTATATAATAGAATGGTTTCTAAATCATTCAACATTTAACCATATTTATTGAAATAATGGAAACTTCCATACACCACATTGACCAATTGCAAGGTATTTAACTCTGCTTTGAAAATAAACATAAATAATAAATTAGACACAAAACATGTAAGTCAGGATGGTATATGTGAGCAATCAATTGGTAATAGGTGCATGGTTAAGAGGCTATATTGTGTTATTATGATTTGTTAAATTCACCACATGTGCATTGAGTGTCTCTTATGTGGAAAATATATATATATGTTGAAATGCTTAGTTTTGTAGTTGAATTACTACCCTATTGAGATCTAATCATACACTACACGTAACACTATGACTTCGGTGACATGTTAACATGGTACATACATCACAATCTAAGCCAATTATATTGAGCTTACTTCTCACAACCAATGTATAATATTTTCCAGAAATATTTAATGCTTTCTCTAGCATTACACTTGTGGTGTTATAGTATTCTCAAGTACAAGGATTTCTCTTTAGGAGCCATAGAATAAAAGGAAGTTTTGACAGAAAATGTATTACAAACCAAAAATCTAAGTTTTCTGAATTCAACTGAGTTCAAAGTAAAGAAAGAGACTATAAACAATGTAGAACACAATGAAACAATCCTTATTTCAATCAAAATCAGGGATAAGTGTATCTTTGGGGCACCTTTACTATAGAGTCTATAGATACAACTAGATATTTAATGTAAAGTATTTAATGTTGAACATTTAATGGGTCTTCATCTAGAAATGTAGTAACTAAAACAAGGATGTCACAAAACATTAGAATAATAAATTCTCACATTAATTTTTTGTTTCAAATATTGCAAAAAACAACTATTACATGACTATTGACTATATTTTTCAGAATAATTACATGACTTTTCCTTCATTTTTCACAAATCATTCACAGTTTTTCATGCACCAAATTTAATATAATATTTTCAAAGTTTCTGCAACCACTGTGTATGTAATCTTATTATAGAATGTTGTTTAATTAAGAAAGTCACTATATTCCTCTTGCCTTAGTTACCAACTAAATTGGATCATTCCTGTAAAGTGGAACATACTATATAAAAATAGTGTTCTTTGATACTGAGAGGTCAGATGATACCTAAAAAATAGAGCATTCATTATTTGTAGTGAGAATGTCCATCAGTCACACAGTTGGTGTCTGCTCCCTGAGAAGAATGGAACTGTTCTTTTTAATATATACCACCAGGTTTTCTCACCCTGGAAGAGGTTTTAACAGATACTGATTTGATTGATATGCACTACTTTGATTATGTTTGAAATACATCAGAAAAAGTCACAGATATTTGAATTTTAAATATTCATTACATTATATTTAATTAAAATTATTTAATCATACACACAAGGTCATGATGTAAAAATAAAATATCATTTGATTACATTTGGTTCAGGACCAAGAATTATTTAAATATAATCAGTTCTGTCATTAATAATGCTGCCAAGAATAATCTCAACTTATAAGGCAATGCCTTATAGAATATCAAACAATGTACAATCCCATCACTAAAATCTAATAGGAAAATAAACATCAGCACATTTAAAAAAATAAATTTAACCACTTGAAAATATAAAATGAAAACTAAGAGTTAAGATAATTAATAGGCACTAAAGAAACAATGTCCTACTGTTACAGTGTTAAGAGGCACCTAAAGAAACAATGTCCTACTGTTACAATGTTAATAGGCACCTAAAGAAACAATGTCCTACTGTTACAGTGTTAATAGGCACTAAAGAAACAATGTCCTATTGTTACAGTTAATTGGCACTAAAGAAACAATGTCCTATTGTTGTAGTGTTAACTTGCTGAATAAAAATTAATGAAAGTTGGTAACATATGAATGACTACATTTACTTTCAAACTAGTATCAGTTCTACAGCAATAAAGTAGATGTATTGTGAAGTCAAAATTTCTAGTGTAACTAAGAATGACAATATATTTCAAGGTACATAAAGAATATTTATTTATGGTGAATATAAAGACTAATTTTTTAGTGTCATGCTATCATTTTTTTTCAATACTGATTCTACATGTGTCTTAATAAAAACAATGCACAGACATAAAGTGTAAACATAGACACTAATTACTTTCCCAAGACGTTTTTATGACAGTTTAAATTTCATATATCTTGAGGTACTTACAGTTCATTAAGCCAATCTTTGATAATCCAAAATCTGTCAGTTTAATGTGTCCCATTGCTGTAATAAGGAGGCTGAAAAACAATAATTATATATATATATATATATATCAGCATATAAAACTATAAAGAAAAATACTGGATGTTTCCTTCTGTATTCTAACCAGATGCACTTGCAACTCTCAGATGATCAGATGAATTATTTATAGTTTTCTCAATTAAAACACCTTGAACACTTCTAAACAAATAATTATTATCACATGCTGGTTGACTTATTAAATAACTTTTCAGATAGATTTTAATTTAAGAAACAAACAGAGAAAGATATTTATTTAGATTTCTCAAATGTGAATTGCATGTGCAGAAAGGAAATGTTCACATAAGCATCAGCTAACAGTAGCTGCTCCATTGTTTCACTATTTCCTGTAAAAGCAGTACACTGACAAACAAAAGTTAAAGTAAATGGAAAACTGGAACTTACAAGAAAAAAAAAAAGGAGTTCTCACTTCTAAATTTACTTGTGTTATCCATAAATCTAATGTATTAGCTTTTAATTTTAAAATCTATGAAAAATATACATGTATTACTGCAAAATAAAGTTTTCCACTTATTTTTTCTCTTTCAGCCTCATAACTAAACTTATAATTACTAATTTTCTAGTAGTCATACTCAAGTTGTATTACTGTTCCACTCACTTTCCATTATTCTTAAAAGAAAGAGTTCTGTGTATATGTATTGTGCAAACGTATAATGTCTAAATGTTGTCTTGTGTATTTTCATTTGCAATTTTAACAAAGTATTTCATTTCTCCAAAAAATTTTATTTTCATGTTGAAAATGTTCCCAACATAGTTTGAAACCGTTTGAGCAAAAAATAGTCAAATGTAATGTTCCCAAATTTACTAATATTAGAGCTCCTCTTCTATAATGCTCAAAAATGAAATCATAAATGTTGTAAACCATAAAAAGTTAAAATGAAGAGACAAAGTAAACAAATTTTCATGTCACAAATGTTCCAGGGTCATTATTTTTAAATAGTAAAATCTGAAGACTGAACATAAAAAAAAAACTTGTTTCTTTATGTTAATTTCTTAATATCTTCTGAATACAAAGCTTAGTTTTCAGGTATTGGTATGGTCACTCCTAACAACCTGATTTTCAAGAAAGATAAACTAAAAATTAATGTACATTCAAACTTGAACTAGTTATTACTCCATATTTTCCAACAATCTGAAATTTTAGCTTACAGTTAGACAACCATATTAATGGAAAACACACTCACTTGTCTGGTTTCAGGTCTCTGTGAACAATTCCATAACTATGTAAGTATTCTACAGCCAACACAGTTTCAGCAAAATAAAATCTCGCCATATCAACGGGTAATGGTCCCATGTTTTTCAGCAATGTAGCACAGTCTCCACCTTCTACATACTCCATAACCATACACAAATGTTTCTATATAAGAACAAAAATTCTGCCACTGTAACAGTAGGACATTGTTTCTTTAGTGCCTATCCTACTGTTACAGTGTTAACATTGTTTCTTTAGTGCCTATTAACACTGTAACAGTAGGACATTGTTTCTTTAGTGCCTATCCTACTGTTACAGTGTTAACATTGTTTCTTTAGGTGCC